CCTTTATGCATTTTGTGTCTTGACTCCTTACTTTCAATCGTCTGATCGTATTAAGAATTGAAGCTGACACAGCCTCATTTTCAAACGCGGAAATGCGCAGATCAACGCTAAACGCATCGTATTGGGATCCCGATATACAGTGTCTCACCAACAGTTGTGGTGCCTGTGCATCGCCCCAGCACCTATTGGGTTGCAGGGGTCCATCTTTCCTTCTCTTTTACTTTTCACTATACTTAACAAGTATCTGACAGAGGTCAGAAAATCATAACATGATAAACTGACGTCTCAGCTTCATGAACAATGGCTACAATACAAAACAACTACAATTATGGTAAAAAGTCAGTGACAACCGACATTGGTGGAATACCCAAGCCTTTCTCAGTTCATTCCTGCCCATAAACACATTTGGGAATCTGCAAGTCTACTCGAATCGTCTATCCGCCAACCTAAAGACCTAACTTTCTAAAACATTCAAGTTATCCCGACCACAGATAAATCCTGGCCATAAAAATACTGCCGCAGCATAATCTGATTACTCACCTGAGGTCTTGCTGCCACCCTCGGAGCCAGCAGAAGGCGGTGTTTTCTGCATGAGCAAAATAAAAACATAAATCTAACTTGTGTCCATGAGCAAGACAATTTATTAAAATTGCTTTTTTTCCTCCTCCCTCTAATTGTTCAAATGAGGGTAATTTTGAGAAATTTGACGACCTTAACTGACACAGTAATGCCTCCTGTTAAAAAAAAGAAATTCCGGTCAGTAATGCAACCTTTTCTCTACTCAAAACAACTGTATCACTGAAAGTTTGCCAGTCACCCGACAAAATTCAACTCGCTGACTTCTGTGCCTCACAGTCTGGAGCTGACATTCTCATTATCTCCACTACCCCAGTTGTGTCACCCAAGGCCATAAGGCTTTGCTCAGTTGAACAGCAAACAGGTTTAAATCATGTGACAACCATTCCATACCGGTCTGGGCCGTTTGACTGCCGCTTTGGTTGGAGTCGTGGCGGATGGCTTTGCCTCTTTGCCGGTAGAATAAAGATCCAGTAGAAGGTGACAGATATCTACACAACAAATATACAAAACACTGTGACCATTAAACACAAGCGATGAAGCAACCGTTTCACATTATGGTCTTATGTGATTGTTAGGACCAGCCCTACTTCCTCATGCTTCATAATTCACAGAGCTGTGTACATAGCTAAATATGACCAGAACCTGTGGGCCTCTTGCTCAAGTAACTTGTCACCTTGAAGGCAAAGAGAGAGGCTTCCGTCACAGCTGTGCTCAGGCCAAACATTTGGTCTGCACAACTTCAGGTCACATGTGCTTGGAGCCATATATGGCCACAAAATATACTATGCGCAAGCACACAATAGATCTATCCAAACTGATGTAGTTGCTTGGAAACATAGCGCCCTCTTTCATACATGCACACTGTCTACTAACCTTCCATGATGTCCAGGGACACATCATCAGCTAGCTGCTCCCACCACTTGCCCTTTGTGTTCTTGCTGGACGATTCCAGGAGGTCACTCTTGGAGAGGCGGCCCGCCAGGTACAAGAAGGCCACACCCACAATGTGAGGCTCCCACTGCAAGCACAGTGTTGTGCAGAGGCTGTGGAGGGTAGGTGTACCGGTTTGGAAACATTCCATGTCACAAACAGAACACGCACACGGCTTCAGAGGGGGATGATAATGTTTCTTCTTATCTCTAGGGACTTGGAAACAGCCGAGGTTAAGCTCTAGATGTTTTCTGATCCTGTTTAACAGGATCCAATTAAAAAACGTCAAAGTATCATATGACCACATTGTTTCCCGGAGATCAGCCACCACTGAAGCAGGCAAGCCTTAGGTCAGCGAACATATATATCATACACTGTAAACCAGACAATGAAGCTTCTTTTCATGCAAAACAACCATACACACAGTTCATGACGGTTATTATTTTTCCAATGCACAGTTATTGATCTGGCACTGGTGGCTAGCTTTGAAACTTGCTTACTACCTATAAGTACTGTGCATGGCACCATGGCTCTTGCCTATGACAATAGTGGATGTGCGTTAGGTCACATGGGTCTGTGAGAGCACCATACGGCAGTAGGCAATTTAAATGCATGGCAAGTTCTCTCCCTCAAAGTGAAAGACCTGCATTGTCTCTGTTCACAAGTATTCCTCCAATGATTGCCAAAATAAGGTCGATAAAAAATGAAAACCACAAAATCAAAAAGAACACCCTTACTAAATAAGTAATCCAACTCAATAAGTGACTGATGAGTGATCAATTAACAAGAAATGGGGAACCAATGAGTAATCAATGAGTAACAATTAAGCATATATACTCCAATATTAAAGTAATGAATAAATAACTAAACAAAACACTAGCCAATCACTCCTCGTTCCTCACCTGTCATTGACAAATGTCCATGCCATCTGCACTTTCCTCACCTGTCATTGACAAATGTCCATGCCATCTGCACTTTCCTCACCTGTCATTGACAAATGTCCATGCCATCTGCACTAGCTGCTGTATCTTAGCCTTGTCCCCTTTGAGTGTCTTGGCATACTTGAGGAGGTAGCTGTAAGGATGGTCCACCTGAAGGTCAAACTTGATGGTCTGAAGAAGAATACGCTCGTGGGTCATGATCTCTTCCTGCAAACGGTCCAAAAATACAAGCAAGACATCTGACCATGTGTTAACTAAAACTAGAATATGTTATCTTGTTTTACTCACATTCATGATCGAAAGACAAATGCCCACCGTTCCGTTTACCACGATGCGTAAGCCACCATATTTGCAGTTTACTAGTCATACACAAAAGGATCCATCCTCCTTGTAATAATGGGGTCAGTGAGTTGTCATTATGCATAATCATGATTTTCTGTTGAGCTGGAATTGTGCTAAAGACAATACACAAAGGAACAAAAATTAAAAGCAAAAAGTGGCTACCGGTACGTGAGAGATTTTAGGAGCATACATCTGAAACCCCAAACAATACGTTAGCGCAAGTTCGGTATATATCTATTTCAAAGATGGACTTGTGCCGGGGAGATATAAATAAATTTTGGATCTAGCCCCGCCTGATGTGTATTTTAAGACTCTGTATACTCAGTGTATGCCCCCTAAGGCTTGTGAAAAAAGGTAGAGCGCACTCGGGTGGGACTCGAACCCAGGACCCCCTGCCTATTAGTGCAGATGTCTGCACTAGTAGTTCTTTGCAGTACCCGCTGCTACATCTGATTCGAACCAACCAGCCGACACCGGCAAGCTCCGTGGTCAAGTGGTTAAGACATCTGCATCTAGCACGTGATCATCACACGATAATCGTATGATCATCACACGATGATCACATGATCATCACACGATAATCACATGATCATCACACTATTGCCACACGACCGTACCTTGGGGTCATCGCCAAATGCATTGAAGTGAGGCTCTGGGACCATATGCTTGGCCACACGGATGATGTCTTTGCACTTCTTGGGTGTCTCTTCTACCTTCCCTGCCAGGAACAAGCAGGCAGCCCCTGTGACCTGAGCAAAAGAGATGTCACACATCAGGCATCAATGGCAATTCAAACCATATTTGTCTCGAGTTATCTGATCTGTCAAAAACAGCTCCAGTAGGGTAGGTTGCTGGCCTTTCATACAGGCAAGTGGAATAGTGGACACTATCCTCTAGACCTGTACCAATGAAAAGATTAATACACAGAACAGCAAAATCAGAAGTTCAGAATAAACCTGTCCCTAGCTATTAGTCATAACCTGCTAATGTAAGACACTTCCTATCATGTTAGGGAGCGTTTCATAATTGTTGAAGGCGGTATTTACTGTGGTACCGCTGTTTTTTTTAGTGGCACGGCACTAGTTACCCGAAAAGGCTTAATGCTGGTACCGCAAAAATACAGCGGTGTCGCAGTAAATACCGCCTTCTGTAATTATGAAGCGTTCCCTTATCAATCTTCAATGGAAAAACCAAGCTACACTGAATGTGTGAAAAACAGTGGCTAGGCTATTTCAATCAGGACAGGCACCATTAGATAACATAAGTAATCTTTAACCGTTATCACATTTTTGATGATTTCGTAAGTGATCGCTGCAAATTCTCATTGCAACTGGTTCATACTGAAACCATAAAAAGCGGATCTCAGGGAACAAGTACACCTTCATCAGGGTGCTGATGCTTACTACCATGCATCAAACTCATCCGCAGGGGCTTATGTTTTAACAGTAAGCCCTGGCTGTGCAACGTTTCTTCCTGTGCCCTGCTTCGATATAGAATACCAAGTAAATAATTTATATCGGGTATAAATTTGATTTTAACTTTCATATGCAATGATATTGAACTTTTCATCTCCTTCAACTCATAAATAATTTCACATTTCTATTTTGCTTATGTTATATGAAATGAAAAACTATATATTGGCTGGACAATATTTTTACATTTCAACTTTTGAAATATTGAATTTTCAGGTTTGTCATACCTCAGGGAATTGACCCTATTTATGTACCAGATTTCACATAGGCACCAGCCTTTTGTGCAGCAGCATTTATATGCACATTTTTTTACATGCAAATGATCAAAAATCCACCCCGAGCAGAAGCACCCCCTCATTGGTTGAAAAAAGGCATGTTGTTCGGGAGGGTTCTTTCTTTTGGTAGTGATTACAACTGCATTTCATAGTCCTTCCTGAACCAGCAATGTGCAGTTACTACCAAAGGAGCTTCCTTTGCTAGGAAAATTGTGCCCTCTCTTGGTCCAATTCAGAGCCCATAGGGTGGCAATCATGAATTGCTCACAAGGAAAAGATTACATTTTATATGCAAATGATCACAAATCCACCCCAAGCAGAAGCACCCCCTTGGGGTGGATTTGACATCTGTCAAATGTCTGAAACCCCTGGGATATTTGTATCTTCAGATGTACACGCATGATTGTTCATAGTCTGTGCCATATTCAAACAAACAAGTGTGCGTATGCAAGGCCCCCAATGGCCCCACAAGACATCACTGCTTAGGGCATCAAAGTACCATGCATCATTCAAGCATGGACTCCACAACTTACATATCTTGGGAAGTCCTTGAAGGAATGGAACATGTAAAAGCGATGAAAATACACCACACCAGTTGCCATGGTATCGTATCGCCTATGTCAGCTTGATCAAGGAAGAAGTCAGATTTATTCAATTTAACATTTACAATAAACCTGATCAATATCAGCTTGTGATGGTTTGATGACTTTTTAATTAAAAAAAGGTCAAAGACTAGAGATGCTTTTAATCCTTTCTGCATCCAGCCCTCCTTAACAATGATGTTAGAGTAATTTATTATCCCCTCTGTGAAAATGAGTAATGAAGCTATTTTTTTGGTAATTTGTTTCAGTTTCCATTAGGAAGAGTACGCAAAGCTCTTTGTTTTCATGTATGAATCATTTTGGCATCTTGATGAAAGTGGCAAAAAATGTGTGGATGAAAAATATTGATGGTTCCCACTGACTTCTACATTACAAGATTCTTTTAAAAGGCCTGTTACTAACAACTGGCTCTGATGACTTGTGACTTATTTGCATGGAGCAGGTCACATTTATTTATGTATTATTTCAGAGCATCCAACAGCACATTTATCACCAATTACAGGATGAAGTGATAATTAAGAAGACGATGAGGAAATTTCAGTTTAAAACTGTTTTAGAGGTGGAAGGGAAAACCTAGAATGAATATTCCAGGCAAAATCCACAGAGTCAGGCAGGGACTGAAAACCCAATCCATATGCTGACCTAGATGGGATTCAAACCCAACTCGCAGAGGTGGAAGTCGAGGAAAGTGCCACTACACCAACCTGACTCCCCATGTACATTACACTAATTATTCCCCCTAAAGACAAAGGCATTGGAATCTCCTTGCATGGTGCCTTCTCCCGGTTAAAGGTGGCAAATATGGAATAATGCTATGCCCCGTTTCACGTTCCTTTGTCAATGTGCAAGGATACAGTCCAAGCTGGGTGCCAGCATCGATGATAAAACGAGCCCCTTCTTTGCGATATCTAGCCTCCGTGGCTGCATCGATGCCATCTCTGCTGGAAGGCGTGTTAATCAGGTCTTCTTTCTCATAGTACCAACACGGCATTCTACCTGTTGGGCCTGTTGAAGAAAAAAAAATTAACATGGAAGAAAATAAAGCAGTTTACTTGTCAAGTTGAAGAAAGTACACACGTGCAAACATAAATACAATATAAAAAAACATGTGTTGTTTCCGTGGACAAAAATTAACTAAATCTTTAACCACTTCTTGCCGGGGATCCCGGATCCGGAAACGTATGCTTTATATGCGTGGCCGGGGCCTCCGAACTCAGACAAAGGGAACAGGACCTTGTAACAAACGACCGTATTCGGAACAAAAGACCAGGCTGCTGGGCATTACCGACACTTTTTCACTCTCAAAAGTGGAGATAAACCTGCCTTGTTTTGAAACAGTATACCAAGGTTTGGGGTATTTAGAGCGAGTGGATTACCACCGGGGACAAAAGCGCTCCACCAACTCAGTGATGAACCACACAGCACCGCTGGACGCTAATCTGGCCCCTATTGAAAAGACGTCAGCAGCGCACTGAGCCAGGTTCGTGAACAAAAGACTATTATGTAACACCGGTTACGGTCGGGTTAGAGTGGACACCAGACACGCCTTCATGTGTTTGTAAAAGTCCAGTAAATGAAGACAGGAATTTTTTAAGAATTTTGAAAACAGAAAAAAAATGATAAATATCCCACCCCAGCATCATCAACATTGAAAAATGCCCCCGCAGGAAGTGGTTAATACAGAAGGGAATGCTACAAGAATGGCTGATTGCACAGTGATCAATTTCTGTAATTAAGATTATTCCACCTGTTGTTGGAATGATGATTTAGCAGGGGTTTTAGGTTGCTGTAATGTGCTCCGAGAGGGAACAAAAGAGGGCGTCTTTTTAAATGAAATTGACAGTCCTTTGGTTTGAACTCATCGCATAGGTATGCAAGATTAGGTACATTTGACACGGGGCACACTGAGTACGCCCAACAAAGTTATTCTGCATCTGGAATGTATGGTCTTCATGTGAACGCCGAATGTGTGCAAAAACCCAGTTGGAAAACTTTGTATCAGAGGGTCCGTCTTTCACTGGTGAGGGTGCACTTCAACTCAGGGTGGATACACGAAACATCCACATGTCCCTCACTTTGCCCATTTACCACTTGGCCCGCTTGCAACGTTGCCCATTTGTTACTTCGCCCTTCCGCCAATCTCCCAAGCACTACTTACTGTCCATGTAGACCACAGAGCACTACATGTACATTGTACAAAGCCCCAATTTGGGGCTTATCAGTGCATTATCGAACAAATTTCACAGATCATACAAACAGTGACACTAAATTAATATTATTTATCAACTGCCATGGAGGTATCTTCGTCTCGTAATCATATGGAAGGATACTTTGTAACTTCCTTAACCCTAACCCTCCTCAATCCTTCACCTGTTGGAAAACTGAGGAGTGTTAGGGTTAAGTGCCATCAAGGATCGGTTGCAGCCAAGTAAATTTGGTTGTGGCTTATTACAAGCATGTGTCCACAAAGAATGATCCAGTATTTAGATAACTGATGCACGCTTGTACACTGGGAAAAACCCTTCTACAATTTGAGCTTCTGTCCATCAAGTCCATTACGGCATGTACAGACAGAGCAGTGAAATTCTTCTCCAAATTTCTCGGTAATGAGAAACCATGTCACTTGGAAGCAAACGTTTTGTGTTAAGACACGCAACAAGGTAACAGTGTTTTCAAATGGGACCAAAAAATGAATAGATCTGAAAACAAATTTGGTCCACTTGCGATCTCTTTTTATTGCACATGAGCATAAGGCCCTGGGTATGGAGATAGTCCAGCACCTGGGCCCCATGGGGGTTTTTATTTAAAATAATAAAATATAATAATGATTTATTGTTCAGTGCAATCTTCAATCGTGGGCAAGTTTACTGTAATCTATCCACAGTTGATTTGCCTTTGCCTCAGGAAGGAGTACAATCATTTTGCGGCAGAGTAAAGACTGCACTGAACCTTACTGTGTATTTTTAAAAAAATCACAGTTTGCTCTGCATTAAACATACATGTCCCAAAATCTCAAAATATCCCAACTTTAAATCAGTATTTCTTTGCTTTTCAGGGACTGATGGAATCCAAACTTAGGCTAGGCCTATATCAAAATGTTTCTTTTGACATCCTCTCCAAGATCACGTCAAAAAGAAAACAGAAAAAAATAGTTCAAAGATTTATGATCCTATCTAGGCCTATGCCTCTGTTAGTATTTGCTAGAGAACAGAATGAACGATAATCAAAGGGGCGAAGTGGAAATGGGGCTAGGTAGGGATGGGACGAAGTGGAAATGGAGCGAAGTGGCACACCGCACAGGGCGAAGTGGAAATGGGGCGAAGTGGCCGACACCCGCCTGACACCGACACCCGCCCGACACTGCCATTGACGGTTACGGTACACAAAGCACGACATGACAAACAGAACCATTTACATCAGAAAACGGACCAATCTCAACACTTACGAAAACTGTGCTTGCGATAAAGACAGGAAAGCCTAAAATGGGGTTGCAATGAAATGCTGGTTGATAAAAACAATCAAATATTCTCCAGCTCCAACTTGGCTGAAACGTGGACTCCATGAACTTGTGCAACCAGTATCCCGTGGCTTAGTAGCCTGCCCTCAACGTTCGCATCGACAGTGAGCTTGTACCCGGTAGCCCGGCCGTCTGGGGAATCGATCACGGTTACGTACGTGTACATGTATGTACATTGTACATTGTACACTGTACATGTACATGTATGTATTATGCGCATGTAGGGCATCAATCGACGCACGTATACGTTACGTTTACATGTATAACATACACACGACATATAGCAGGGGATTTTTACGTGAAGGAGTGGTCTGCCGCTGGTGCGGCTGGTATTGCTGGCGTAAATTGATGTTTTGACCCCCGTATTCTCGGATTCTGTGTACTTTTTGTGTTTACTTGATTCTCTTCACAAGGTATGAAATAAGTCTATCAATGGAATTTCAAGTAGGTTTAGCCTAGGCCTAGGTGACAACACGGAGCGGAGCTAAGATTGGAATCACGGGGCCGGGCATGTCGAACAAGATTGCATGTGTAGCTTTGTGCTGTAGGCAGCTTGTCACTGGTAATGGTAGGTTGCCTTCGTAAACTTTTACAGTACCTGCGTGCTCGAACCATATTTGAACCATTCTGATTGGTACGCGTTGCCATACATGTAGTGTATAGTTCCTTATACAGACATCACTAATTTTCCCTTGCAGTAGTTGACTAGCAATCAGAAAGTGATAACATGTCCTAAAATGTCAAATTTAGCAAGGAAAATATTGAAGCAATTTTGGGCCCCGGCCCCCTACTTAAAAAGGATCTGGTCAACTTGGACCCATGCCAACTCAGACCCACGCCAACTCGGACTCAAAGCCAACTCGGACCCAATACTAACTCGGACCCATAATTAACTTGGACCCACCCAGAGTCAACTCGGACCCACCGAGCCTTATACTATTTTTGCAACTTTGTGGTAATAAAATGCACAAAGCCTGACAGCCCTAGCAGCAAGGATTTCAGCATGGATACAAAAATATCCTTGCTTCTTAGATTTTCCAGTTTGCAACCAAGAAGGTTTTTACCCACTTCTTTTAAGCAGTACACTAGATAATCATTTACTTGTAAAACTTTCCTCAAACTCTAATCATTCCCATTTCTATAAAAATCTGGTGTTTACATATCCACTTAAAAGTTGCAGTGTAAGTTGTAATAATTTATCACAATTCAACAGCGTTTAATTTTGTCTCATAAAGAATTTTAGACTGTACCGTTTAGATGTCAATCTAATGTATGAGGTTTAGTAAAGCATTTTCACATTCCAGTGGAAATCAAACTTCATCGCCTATTTGGGCATCAGAATTACTTCTGACATTTGTCAGTACAGTTAATGAAAGGTTGAATAAAATAAAGGCGAAAAGTGTCATTTAGAACATCCTGATAATTGATTACGCAGAAACTATGATTGGGTCTGAGTTGACTCAGGGTGGGTTCGAGTTGGCGTGGGTCTGAGTTAGTTATGGGTCAGAGCTGGTTGTGGGTCCGAGTTGGTCGTGGGTCTGAGTTGGTATTGGGTCCGAGTTGGCATGGGTCTGAGTTGGCATGGGTCCGAATTGGTTTGGGTCCAAGTTTACGCAAAACCCTTGAAGAACACTGTAGGCCCGTACAAAGGTTTGCGCACAGGGCGTCAAGTGATGTCCGTGGATGGAACTCTTTCCCAAGTCAGATTGGTTTTCACAGTAAGTGGCAAAATAAAGGCCCTGGTGACTATACGGTCACGGACGTACATGTACATGTATACATAATGAAGGCATTGGCCTACCCTCTGACCTCTTGCACAGCCACTTTAACAAGGTTGGCTGGATAGTCTGATGTATGTAGCTGTAGGACCTAGTTCTGTTTCATGTTGTTTAGGACTAATCCGAGAAAATCGGAATCTTCTGATCACTTCTTTTAACATTTTGACATGGTCAGCGATAATGCTGACAAAATATGGTTAGAAGATACATGTGTTATTGTAATGCATGTTTTGTATTGTCAGGTACAAGCACATGTAACAAATCGTCACAAAGTTCTACAGTATGCTGATGTAAGAAGCTTTGAAGGAAGTGCCTTTTACATCAAGGTTCCAATTTTGAACTTTTGTGCACTATAACAGAGTTCCCTGTGCTCAAGGCCTACCTCATTGTAGACTCTGTGTACATCTGTTGTACATGTTCTACATATTTAAATGAACTTGTTTCCTGTAGTGTAGCAAAAAGTTAAAAACACTGAACGACTATAAAAGTGTGAAGTAGTCATGTTCAAGGTGGATGACTTATTTTACCATCAATAAGTCGAAGATTTGTATCTGGGTTATATTTGTTACACACATGAATGCGTAAACCAGAATACTTATTTTTTCTGGAATAAATTCTCTTTGTATTAGGCTCTGTTTTCTGTGCAAATCATTTTGACTAACCCCCATCTCCCCTAAGGTTTAACCACAAAGTATGTAGACTGTGGTTCTCATCCTTAGCATGGTGATGGCATTGAATGTTAGTGCATAGATTTTTTTTTTTCGTTGTGCCACAGTGAATTTTATTCTGGAGCGTCTGTGCAATTATGCCTAATTTTTTTTGTTTCTAACTCTTTGGAATTCTGCCAATGTCGGATGCATTATTGGCTTAAGATGGGACGAAAGAGCAGACGAAAGTATAATCCGGATCCAGAGGACACGGCCAAAGCTGATAAAAAGGAAATTACAGCACTGTGCTCACAGATTCTGGAAAGTAAGTGGATGTAATCAATTGACTGTAGACCCAACAATGGATAGGTCTGAGGGGTTGATGCAAATGCAGGCCTGGACCCTGTCTGCTCCCTCCCAGTCTGTTGATCCAGCAATTAATTATGCATGAAATTGCCGTCTGTTTACTTTGATATTTTGACAAATCATTATCTTTGGTCAGACACCATATCATTGGAAAACCTGGCACATTTCCAAGCATCAAAATAGTCAATAACTGACACTTTCTATGTTGTCTTGTAGCCAGTGAGAAGCTAAACATGGGTCTCGTGGGCAGTGTTGTACATGTAGTTGACACCCCTCAAGACCATCACAAGACCCCACAAGACCAGCGCTGGACCCCTGAACCTTTTTAACTACACAGTAACAAACGCATTCTTTCACACTGCCCCGCCTAGTCTTGTGTCTGCTTTTGTGATAGTATCAACTACAGTACTTATCCTGGGAATACTGGAAAAACTATGCATACAGTGATCTTCCATTAGCACTGAATTTAATGGATCCAAGGAGCCAAGAACCAGGCCTCAACATTGATTTTTTAAAACTACTTGTCCATCGGCCAAGTAGCACTGAAAATTTACGTGCCCAAGGTAAGATTTTATTTGCCCAAACCCTGGTTTAGATCCTCATTGCTTTCCGGGACAGTAAGTTCCTCCTTCAACCAATCACCATTGATGAAATTGCTACACCACAATACGACATGAATATACATCACCCCTAACTATTGCGGTATGCAGAGAGTGCACAGGACTCTGATGCATCATTCATACAAGTTCAAGCAATGGCTATTTTTTAACCACTCGACAATTTCGCCTGGTGTCACATATGCAAAAATACACACACAAGTACCAGGCAAAATTTACTAATGTTGAAGTCACAGCCACGTTTAAAACCGTCTTTGAGCTTCTGGCCATCATCAAAGCTCTGCTGTGCCACGCGAGCAATAAGCAGTAAGGTTTGGTATCCAGACACAAGGGTATTTTACTATTTATTTGTGTACACATTTTCTCTTGCGTGGAAAGGTGCCCTGCTAAATGTACAACCTGCTTAATACACACAAGTTTGTACATGTACGTAATGATGCAAAAATCATTGTACACCACATAACTCTTTTTATAAGCTTTTGTGAAGAGGAAAAAACAAATCAAAGGTAAATTTGCTATTCTTGGCCACGAAAACAGACATTTTAATACAAGAAAAAAGTACCTGTCCATCGGGCAATTGTCCTTAATTTTTACTTGCCCAAAAGAAGAAATTAGAGATTTTCCGGCACAACACCTTACCCCAAGACATCGGTTTCAAACTCAGTGATATCTGGCACCCACTTCTAGCACCCAAGCGGGCACCCACTCCTGGGCAGTAGGGTCCCCTATACCCAAAACCCATGCCCCCAACCCCAGGCGTTTGGGTCTTCTCTACCCAAAGTCACCCCCGCCCCCCCCCGGCATAAGGGTCCCCTATACCCGAACCCAAGGTTTCCCGCTAATTCCAGGATCCAACACCTTCACGCAGCAGCGCACACACTGACTCACTCAACCTGCGAATCCCGTTCCACGCTCCACTACTTGCGGATTACCTTTATAACTAGCTATCCACTCCAGTTTGGCACACTCTCCTGAGGACGGCCAGAGCACACTGGCCGAAACGTCGAGTTAACACTCACCGGTTCTTTTAAGAACCACACCTTGCCCAAAAGAGATTGATTCCATGGTGGATCCGCAAACCCATTTCTCATGTCTCTTCCACCTTGCAAAGCTTCAAATCTTACTTAAGAAATAACTTGTCCCCCGGGCAATCAGACAACCGTTAACCCTAACAGTCCTCAATCCTTCACCTGTTGGAGGACTGAGGACTGTTAGGGTTAATGTTGAGGCCTGCCAAGAACCAACAAGTTTATCAATCTAGTGTTTTCTATTTCATTGTTTTTCTAATCACTTTTTACAGAAACGATGCCTCTGAACCACTTTCTGCCAGGTTTATATTGAATTTGCGGGACAAGTTCCTGGGCGATTTCCAAGATTTTCGTTTTTCAAAATTCTTCAAAAATCATAACATCATTTACTTGTACAGTGTACTAGACGTTTCCATCCACACGAATAACTGTGTGGTGCTACTCTAAGCTGACAGGCAACCTCCATTGATGCCTGAGTATTTCAGTAAGGCCTGCCACCTAGTAAAGAGATCCCAAATGTGTTGCTTAATTTCCTTTGTTCCCAGAATTGGCCCAGTATGCTGCTGAATGCCAGTGGTGTCTTTTCAAACACGGCTGGACTAGCGTGCAGCGGTACTGTATCACTCATCGCTGGAGCGCTTTTGTCCCCGCTGATAATCCGCTGGCACTGAATGCCGCAAACAGTGGTATACTGTTTCAAAACAATGACGGATTACATGCACCTCTGCCAATACCAAGTGAAAAATAGTGGCTAACCCCAGCAGCTTGGTCTTTTGTTCCGAGTACGGTCTTTTGTTACAAGGCCCAGCATTTTTGTCCGATTATGGTTACCCCGGCTAAGCGTACAAACCTAAGGTGCCTGGTTCCGGGAACCCCAGAAGCAGGTGATTAATACTGCACTTTATTATTCCAATGGGAATTGACTCTCTGTGTTTATTTGTATTAATAGAAAATAAAATAAAATGCCAGATTTGTGGATAGCTGTCAACTAGTACAGCCATGGTCTTATTTCAGTCCAGAGTAGCTGAAAATGTTCAACAGTAGTTGATGTAAAAGGTTGCATAAAATTTGTAGGCACACATTCTCTGTGTGAGACATTTGTTATGTGCTGGCTCCTGTGAATGGATGGTACTCTGTCCCCTTCCAATTCTTCCTTCACCTCCAAAAAAGGTTGCTAGGTATTAATTTACAAACACTGCAATAACTCAGCTAACAAACCTAACAGGAATGAAACATGAGCCACATCGGGATTTCCGGATTGCAAAAACAAAATTGAGCTGCCTGAGAGTGGAAGTTTTTTTCAGTCATGGCTCCAATTAGGAAGATCCGGTTTGACTTAACCACTGTCAACTCTCATTGGGATTCAGTGTGGAAACAGCTAATATCAGGGTCTTAGCCACACGTCTTTCTCACTGAAGGAGCCATGTTAATCATCTCTGATTCCCAAGGCATTTTTTTTGCCAGGAGCCTCCAGCTGTCTTCAAAATCAGCCACTGTGGAAGAGCGCAGTGGCCAATTCTTTGTGATTCTGTAACTTTCAGTGGCCATCTTAATATTTTCTGTGCAAAGCAGTAGTGACCTTCCTTCTTGATCAAAGTGAAATTATTCAGGGCCTGTTTGTTTTACACAGATTTGGATGGCTATCAGTGATCCGATACTTGTTCATTGACACCAGAGCCCGCCTAAAGATAAAGCAAACCAGCTTTGGGATCACTGATCAAGATCCAGATCCCCGTGAAACAAACAGGCCCTCAGAGTAGTGGCGTTGAGAATATTGGGGAGATGTAGGGTTTGTCCCAGCTTCACCATAACTCAGAAGGTGCCTGATAGGATTTTGTTCACTTTTATAACTCACAAGTCTGCAGGTTCCTCTGTCATTAACCTATATAGTAAAATCAGGTGACTCAACAAAAGTGAATAGAATGAGAAACCATTTGAATTTTGATTTTGTTTTTGACCCACCAGGCCAAAGTGCCTAAAGTTAGAGGGCATGGCAGAAACTAATTGTGTGTATTACCTTGTCTATAACACTAAGTTTAGAAATCCAGCCAAAGTCACCCCCCCCAACAGATGTACATGTATGATTCAGTATTTGGTGAGCTTTTGTGACAGATTTTACAGATTTACACATACATGTAAATGTGTATAATCTGTATACGCGTATCTTCAGTAGGCTTTGAGGTATGTAGTCATTGCAGCATTAAAAACCTAACGTAAGAACAAGACCTCTAATGGAGGTGAAACTGTCCATCCCATTTTGTACCAAACGTACAGCTAACGATGCCTTACTCTAAAATTTGTTCTTGTTCACTTTACTTTCAGTACTTAACACTTCCTTTCCTTTTGTTTTTTGTTTTTTTTGTTTTTTTGTTTTTGGTTCGGTGTTAGTTGCTGGCAGACCATCACACATGGTTCCAGCCAAACAATGGGAAGAATTCCTACAGATCCACAGCCTAGTGGAGAAGATTCGCAAGAAACAGCACGGTAAAAATCCGACATTCATTTTTCACTTTATTTTTGTCAGATATCCAGTGTGTTTGTAGACTCACAGTACCCATATCCGCTGACAAGCACATTTGTTTTCTTCCAAATAATGGTTGTTGTAGGCCCTTGTTTCATTGTTGTGTTTGAGGTATTGTAGTTAAAGATTATACATGTAATATTAATCATATAAAATGGTACAATGGCAGGCCATCTGAAGAGACCCATGAAGAAAATAGATACATGCAGATAGCAGTGTTGCCATGCATTGGGTATTGATGCTAAGCTAGAGTAAGCTATGAGCTAACATTCAGAGAGAGATGCTCAAACTTTCTCTTGTGTATGCATGATTTTGGAGTTTGTACGGCACAACTGTGATATTGTCACGTGCCCTCAAACTTTATGTAGGCCCCTGAAGTTTTCGTTGGCCCTGGGCACGGTGCATGCTGTGCCTATTTGATAATCGGGCCCTGCACGGAGGACTCTGTTTTTACCAAGTCAAGTCCCCCCCCTCCTTCCCTCCCTCTTCTCATGTTTAATTTGCCAGTCATTCATTTACTTTTCAGATGTTTCCTTTGAAAACCACAATCGAGAGGAGCATATTGAGGACTTCCTGGCCTGGGCCCACAGCCAAGGCATAATATTTGACTCTGTCACCATCCATAAGTTTGACAGCCAGGGTCTTGGGCTGAAAGCTGTCAAAGAAATCAAAGTAAGTTATCAATAGTCTGAATCAATATAAGTGGTCAAGGGGACCGTGTGACATCCCCTCCCCCATGCAGACACCATAATCAACCCCCGCTGTAACATTCAGAGTGTCTTTAGGGAGGAGGAACCCGCCATTAATTCATAATTCATCACAGAGGTTTCCACCCACACGCTTTCAGTTTGTCTCTGAGATTGGTCTCTGGAAGTTCTGGAGCCATAACTCATTGAGCAATGTCCCCTTCCAAAACAAAAATGATTGAGCAACAGCCTTGTATGCTGGTAGACAAAGACCCTGACACTTGCACTTGTCCACCAACACTAAATACCCTCTCAGTATTTTTTGCTAGTCGATTACCCCAAAAAAGAGCTAAAATCTGCCGTCTTTTGTTCACATTATATGGTGAGCTGAAATCGTCTTTCTGTAAGAATTGTATATTGTACTAGATCTGCCATAGATTCCCTTGAATTGTTTCTGGTATCTCTTGTAGACAGTGGGAAGCCCTCAAATTTGTTGCAGGCTGCCAGTACTTGGGTAGCCCCCATTCATCTGCACCTAATGTCTTATAACCAACTTACTTGTACATCTTTATCTACTCTGGACATTAACATACTGTAGTTAATTTCCTGTCAATTCCCTTGTTGTGACCAAAGGCAGCCTGACTGTAATGGTAGTCACGGATGAAGTGGTTCTATTGAATGCTGTTCATAATAACTGCATGTTTTGACACATGTATCAAATAGACAACTGTTTTACATCACCACTGAGTCTTAATCAATTTTTCATTTTCAAGCCAGGCAGGACATGATCTACATGCACCTCTTTTGTGCCATTTATAACAGCATATGATTATCACAGATGTTTGCTGAACTTCTTAGAAGTTCAACGCATGTTAAAAAAAAGTTTTCAATCTTTTTAATTGGCCACCGCTGCAGTAGGCAAGCATTTTGTTTGCAACCACACATCGGTACCAGTACATTGTAAACTAAACAGTAAGACATGTTTTCATGTAAAATAACCATAAATTCTTATCAAAGGGCATAAAGTGGTCACTACCCGTCAGGTGCACAATTGTTATCTTGCCGATTCAGCATTGAGCACTGGCTCAGCAATTTTCTAATTTTTTGCTGTTTATAGAGATTTGAAGGCCTGCCCACTGCCTAAATATAAGTAGCGCTAATGTCTTTGCCTGTCAATGGTGGGTGTGTGATCTGGTCACGTTGGTCGGTGTCACAGTGCCTGATACCACTCAAAGCTGCCAATGAATTAACCTGTGCATTTCAGGCCAGTGTCCCTTTAAGACTGTGTGGCCTGGCCTATTTCACCTAATGAAAACCTTCTGTGAAACTGGCCCCTGTGTACAGTGTGTTGCCAAGAGGTGAGGTGTATGTGGGTCATGATTCATCCCAGCTGATAAATGCCACAGGCTGTTGGGTTGATACCTTCCTGCATTGGGGTCTCTTTCTACAGGAACACGATCCATTCGTGGCAGTGCCAAGGAAAGCTATGCTCAGCGAGGATCGCGTGCTCGACTCACCGCTAGGTAACAAACCATAACATAGTTTGTTTTAACGGGTTTAAAGGGACATCTCTGCTTTTCAGTATCCTGCCGCGCATGACAATTGCATTTTAGTTTTTTGTGTGATACCTGTGCCATTTTCTTTTGACTTGTGAATTTGTTGCCATGATACATGTTAAAATATCACCAGGAAAGAGTTGTAATTTTTTATATTAAGTCATTTTGCTTCATCAGATTAAGGAACATCTGTGAGGCTACCTACATGTATGACTTCTACGTGTGAGTTTGGATTTTTACAAAGGGGAAGAAATAAACATTTCTGGATCATTATTTAATCATCCTTATTCAATACTCTACCGAAATACATACAAAGCAATAAAGATGCGACATAAAACCACGGTCCCAAGTTGACAATGAATAAATTAAAGTACTCATGGCAGAGCGAAGAGAAATGAAGCAGATTTTAAAAATTAGAGGAACACAAACAATTAACTTATTTTAAAAAATACATTTAATTAGTTACAGCAGTATCATTCATAAACATTTTCTGGGATGGGTGGTGCCCAAATGAAGCTGAAGGAAGGGCAAAATATGATCATATAAACATGTACACACATTCACCTGTTTTCCAGATTGGTTCATTCCGACTGTTAAAAACTACCTAGGATCCTAACAGCTCTTCTAACAATCTGATGGCAAAAGTCTTTACATCTAACAACCACATGGCACAATTTCATAATTTCTTTGAATCTCTATCTGTTGTCTGGAGTATTTAGTCCTCGAGAGCCAATTTCTATGCAGATCAGTTTAACATATCCCTTCCGACTCCATTCATGACAGAGGCTAGCAAATTGATTCTCTTTCCTAAAGTTAGCATCCTCGATGTTAATCTCAAATGGAACAGTGAGCTCTATGAAATCGACGCGTTTCCTGCAGTGATCTGCATAACATCTATATCAGGTTTCTGTTGGATAGGGAGAATACTCGGTGGAATAGTACCACCGTTAATTGAGGCAACCCCAATATAAGCAAAAACTGTTGTTTTCAACTATATTCATTCATTCATTCATTCATTCAAATTGGTTTATTAATAATCATGCCTCGCAGCGTCAGCTGAATTGAACATGATTTACAAAGTTTAAAACATCACAAACTATAAACAATTAAACATTATAAAAAAAAAAAAAAACAGAACGAAAAACCAAATTACAGAGAAAACATCTTATATAGACACCAATAAGAAAAAAACGTTCATGGTTAAAAATGCAAATTTACAAATGAGTTGATTGAAATGCCAGTACACATGTAACCAAAATTCAGTTGAAAATGGGCAAAACAAAAAAGGCCCATTTAAAAATTCTTTCTGGAATTACCCACAGACATGTACACACATTCACCTGTTTTCCAGATTGGTTCATTCGGACTGTTAAAAACCATGTCGGATCCTAACAGAGCTTCTCTAACAATCTGGTTTATGCAAACCAAAGATTCACAAAATTACCCTCTCAGTATGCCACACATTTCTTTTTTCTCTAATTTGTCAGTTTCTGTTGAAATGAAGTAAGCATAAACTGACTGTCTCTGAGTTAGGGCAAGAAAACTTTCAGAACTGCACCAACAATATGCTCTCTCTGGTGAAATCCGGCAAAAATGAGAGTGTTCCATAAGCATGCAGAAGTTGTTTGTGGATATACTGTGACTAATTCAATAAAAGAAACCACATGCCCTGCCACATTCAATTAAGGCTCCTCTGGCAGAGACATGCGCCGCCCCGACAAATAGCCAAGGAAAGGTTCAAAGCGTACGTGCGAGGAGAGCGCATATCAAGGGTGGACATGATGGATAGAGAGTGAGCCTGGGAACAAGAATGGCTAAATCCAATGCGGATGCTAACCCTGCGCGTGACATACCGGTAAAGGGAAGGCCGTATCCTCACGGGATGTGCTGACAAAGCACCGTGAATGTGAAAAATGACAGTGAGGCACATGACCAAGAGACAGTCACTGTTTCCCCCCCCCCTTCACAATTTGTCAATCATACTTCACAATCCAAATGTGGCAGTTGTGGGAAAACGAATAAGAGCAGTGGTGTTGTCGCTGAAAAACGCAGTAAACAGAGCACACTAGAGTTTCTCATCCACTCTGCCAATTTTTCTCTTCCATCAGATCACCTGTATTTAAGCAGTTTTGGGTGAACTGGGATCCATGGAAATATCAGTGAGTTTATCTTACTGAATGGAACACCCAGGAGAAATAAGAAATAAAGACGTTGCCATGAATGAAGACCATTTGCCTTTTCTCTATGTGGATGAATCAACCTCCATAGTTCGCCTGCATACATGATGAGGTCAGCTCATTTATCTTTCTCCTTTCAGGTCCTCTTATCCGAAAGGATCGCGTCTTGCAAGGCATGGCCCATGTTGCTCTTGCCCTCTTTCTGTTGATGGAACGCCAGTCAGAAAATTCTAACTGGAAAGCGTACATAAGTATCCTTAAGCAAAATTGTTGTTACACATGTAAGAAAGAACTCTATTAACCTTAGTTACATGCACCAGCAGTGATAAGTGTCAGACCTATACTAATTGGAAAAAAAATGCTGACAGGTCACCTGCAAATCCTCTTAAGGCAAATCAAGTTTGAAAATTTTCACCTTTAATTAGTTGCTTTTTTGGAATACAGTGCTGTTTCTCGGCACTCAAATTGGACATTAAGAAGCATATTGAAATTCCAAATTTGAGCTTTCAAATAATTTGATAAACATGTTGGTTTTTCTTGTTCATGCAAAGATGTTGATAAGTGGCTGGACTTGGCTATGCCATGAAAGTAATTTTGTCCTGCCAATGTATTTTGGTTGATTGAAGAATAAAAGCGGCGTGTCTTTAGCAAGAAGAGATTCAAACATCAAACAGACAATGCTTTACAACCAGTTGTTCTGGCTTTCCTCACCCTTGACAATAGCAAAAGAAAAAAAAAACTATAAAACAAAAATAGCGACAAAGAATTTTTTGTGATACTGATTTGTGAAATACATGTAAAATATAATTAGGAAGGATGTAACCCTATCCTGCACACCCCACCTGACTTTCAAGCAAACATGTTCTGGTACTTAGTCTTAACGCAATATGAGACACCCTACCAAATTCCTACCAAGTGCCACTGTACTTCACTCCTGAGGAGTTACAACAGCTGCAGGGATCCCCAACATACAGTGAGTAGTGACTCCCTTTGCTATTTGACCGTTTCCTCTTTCTGAGAATACCTCTGAAGAACTTGGCTCCAACAGCAGTTTATTGGCTTCATTTTCTCTGTTCCAGATGTAGCCATATTTTTATATTATACTGTACCTGCATAAATCCCTGTCATCTGATTGGTGGATCGTTGATCATGTGTCATGGAATTATTCGTTCTGTTACCCATTGAATAGAATTTGATTTTAAGTTCACTGGTTCACACCCCCATTTCATGTATCTCTTTCCCAGTAAGAAAGAGGAAAATTTTAGGATGGAAACCAGTCTGACATTGTATGATACTACCAATGGCTTGTGGCGTGGCACTTTGGACATAAATATGTTTGCAAAATGACAGACGCACGGGACCTATTTGTTCCCTTAACAGAAGAGGATTTGTTCAGTGGTAAGAATAATTTCGTACAGTGACAGATGAATTATTCCTTTCCAATCAGCTCACCTCGTGGAATGAAACAATCATCTGTAACTGAATGAACCAATTCTGACCATTGCACTAAAAAAATATTCATTATTTGCATACCATTAGTACAACGTGTGGCAGTATACTTATTGTGTCTCTACAAACTGCACAAAGATAGCTCAGAAAATGCAGGATTGTGTGGATCGTTAGGAGTAGAAATGAAGATAACCAGGCTCTAGCCCTGATTATTTGAACAATTTTTTTCATGTATATTGTGTTATTTCCCCCATGAGTATGTGCCTCATTCAGTTCAAATCTCTGTCAAGGGCAGAATGGAGATCTTGTTAAGGCATTGTTGCTATTAAAGATGCATGGTGTGATCATGGCCACCTGCCAAACTGCAAATTCTCGGTTTGTGGCCCAGTGTGCTCTGTACGCTTTGAATTACACGGTGAAAAGGCTGATTGTTCGGTGGCATGCGGCTCTACTCAAGTTTCCACATTCCGGTTGCCTCTTTTCAAAGTGGGGACTATTGTGAAGCTGGTGATTATGATGCAAATTTGGTCTTTTCATTTCTGGGCTACAGACAAAGGCCATTTACCATATATGAAAGAGCCAGGGTCTGCCATCTTTCACCGTGTTCGCTCGAGCATGGGCTGAGAATAATAACTGAAAAGCGGGCTGAGGATCTCAATTTTTACGGCGTGTCTTAACGCGTCCCAGCGCGAAGGGGTTAACAAAGAATGTGGATGACCGAGATTGACAGTTTTTGTCTTTTTAGCTTTAAATGATGAATTTGGCTTTGAAATTTGAAAAACACTTCACCACAAGAAGAGGCAATGACGCGGTTTAGACAAGCATTGTAATGACGTCCCTTGAAATGTGCTTCTGTTGACCAGTGACAATCAGCTATCACTGCTTCTTCTTATGCCTATTTACCCCACTGAAATAGGGCATCTTGAGGTACAAACCTTGAACGGACTTGTGTTGATGAATTCCCTTCCCCCGACCCAACGTTTCGCATCAAAGACAGTGTTCTCATGACAAATTTTTTGAGGCAAGACCTTTCCTGTACCGTTATACAGTTTTACAGTACAGTATTTGATAATATCAAATACGAGTTGGTACAAGAGAGTTCCAAAGTATGATGTCATTTAGAACAGAAAGTGCTGTACAAAGAAATGATGGAGGGGTTTATTGGTTCATTCGCTGGTTCTCACGCTAATGCCTTTTACATGCATAATTGTGCATGTGGCATATTCACTTTGGTATGCTAAGAGTTTGAAAAACTAAGAAGTGTGTTCTGAATGATTTGGTTTTTGATTAAGAGAAGATATAAACAGTGTGCTGGAAATGTCCAAGTTCTTTCAAAGTGAGTCTGGGCCATTTTGTAAATATTACTTTGCGTTAGTCATCTGTGTGTCCAAACCCAGCTAACACTGCCTCGGTACTCAATCAAGTTTGGTCTGAGAATTCCTACAGCCTCATCATATATTCCACTCGGACTCGACAGAAGGACTCGACGATGCAGTAGCAGTACTGTCACAATAAATATGGCTCCCCAAAAATGCAATTGCATGAAATGACCACATGCAACAGCCCTGTGATTACCTTTATCAGTTTATATTGTGCATGGGAGAGGGTGTGTTTGTTTAATAGGTATATGAGAGAAGCTTGTACTAACAAGGTTGTGGATTTCCCATTGTTTGTACCTCCTCGCATGCAGCTGAAGCACTAAAGCAACGCAAAAACATCGCCAGGCAGTTTGCTTACTTCTACAAACTCTTTCAGGTTGGTGAGACAGTTAAAACCCCAGGAAATTCCCTTTCTTTTGTAAAGAATTAATCCGTCTTTGTGGTGCTGTTCTCAGAGTGTAATATGAGCCTACTGTTTGGGCCCCACCAACACCAAGACAGAATTGGTTTGGACTACTCCAAATTTAAGTCTCTGTCATCAGTCACCGTGTGATTATCTTTTTTTTCTTTATTCATCCCTTATCTGTAACAATTATGCGGGCGGATTTTTTCCATTAATTTATAGTGAAGCTGGAATCATAATATATGATTGGTGTTCATTTGGATATAGCACAGCCCCCCAAATTGTCAATATTGCACAATCGGGGTTTTTCACAAAGTGAATTGATGAAGCTCTGGCAGAGACCTCACAAATGACAAAGACAGTAAAAAGTTGCACAAATGTACTTCTAATTTCATTCAGTGTAGCTGGTGCGCCGTAGTAACTGTGCACTTAAAACCACTGGTTTGCGTGGCTAGGGATAGAGTGATACCATATTTTCACCTTTGTATTGCAGACACAGGTGGATGCAGCGAAACTTCCATTGAAAGAATCCTTCACCTATGATGGATACAGGTAGGACTGATGAATTGGCATTGTGTGCTGCATGATGGTGTTTTCATACGCTGACTGATGCGACGCTATGTATATATTTCATTTCAAGAAGTTATCTCTGATTTTGATTTTACAGGTGGGCGGTATCAGCAGTGATGTCTAGACATAATCAGATCCCATCTGGGGATGGTTCCCGTCTCGTCACCGTGCTCATCCCACTCTGGGATATGTGCAATCATACCAATGGAGTGGTGAGTTCTGTCTAGTATGGAATCTGCTCTTTCTACGTCTCATTTATAGTTTTGCCCTCCGACCTCTGGTAAAACTACGGCAGGCCCTCGGTATAAAAGCAAAGATTTAATCACAAAAGAAGAACAAATATTATGTAGCTATGAAAACACCAAAAAACAAACAACTACGAAAAAACAAATAAAAGTGTTACCCTTTTTAAAAGTTAAGTTGCAAGTGTACATTTTGAAGTAGTATCTGACCCAACCAAGGGTGATACTTTCTGCAAACATTGACCACCGGTTCACCTTGTAGGCATTATGAGACTGGTCTTTATCTTGGTTTGGACAGCGCTTACTCTTTCCATTGAGAGACACGTCATCATCAGAGTTGCCAAAAAAAGGCATTTGCGCCTTGAGGGATGTGTATGGTTCCACAAACAATCATGGAATCCCCTTCGATTAGTCTCACAAGAACGAGCTGCTCACAAAATTCCTTGAAGTCTTACGATGGATGTTGATGTAGCTAGGTTGATTTGATGAAGTTGAGGGAAACGTACGTGCGTACACTGTCTCAGGGCAGGAATTTCACTCTTGAAGGGGCGAGGCGATTTCTCTGTTGCAAAGGGCAGTTGTCAACTTGTCTATGGGATTATATTAATGGGCATCAAGACAAGGACAAGGGATATCAAGACAATGGCCTTTCCTGCTGTCTTTCAGGATTTAAATATTAGCAAAAAATAGTTGGTCACTTAAGGGTGTTCCAGGGACTAGCCATTCATGTAATTGGCTCATTTTAAATATTTTCCCTCCATGTATTACAAATGAATGTAAGCTTTCATCAGCATTGCTCTTCGCCATCCCCCCAGTAACCTTAACATCTGCATGATACCTGTAGTCACTGCTCTGTTACACAGCCAGGGCTAGTGCTGTACATTGACCCATACTGTAGCAGTAATGAATGACAGATACAGTTCAAACTGTAAGCTTGCATGGTACCCAGTCATTAGAACAATTATTCACTTGACCTGAGGAAATAACAGGATCATTTTAGCCCACTTCAGTTACATAATGACTCAAACTTTAAGATCATACATGTATATTGAAATATAGATGGCGGCCAGAAGAGTTCACATGGTTTAACTTTTTTTTCACTTGCCAGCCGGACCATCAGTGATGGGTTATTACTAGTCCACCAGCATTTTCACTAGTCCGCGTCTTCCCCCATATTTCAACATTCATTTTGGCAGTAGTGTTTTTTGCTCCAACATCATGCATAACAGTGTGCATTCGGCACTGACTGTTGTTTACTTGTTGATGAGTAATCATAAATGGCCATGGGAATATTCATGATTAGGCCTATAACTGTACTCAAGCAAATTAAACACACAGACAAAGTGGTTACCTGCTGAAATGGTTTGTTTTGTTCACAATCCAAGAGACAGAAAAAAAATTCCCTATCATTATGAACAATTTATGTCCATGCACAGTACATGTACATGCACATGTACGCCAGGCAAAATGTACATACAGTGTACATGTACATGCATGTATTATTGTACATGTTCATTCCCGACTGTGTCCAGTACCTGTAGCACGCAAACCAAACCCCAAATCACAACTGCGACATCACTGGTGTCACAACTACCAATGACCAATCAGAAAAACCAGTATTGCATATTCATAGCACATGTAATGCATACACACACCGTACACACACAGCACATCATATGCGGGGATGCATATTCATGAACTTACATGTACCTTTGCAATGCAATGCATGAAAGCACATGCTGATTTAGATCTTGTACGCCAAACCAACGTCAAGTCATAGCGGGCGTTGTCGAAAGACCGGCCATATGCGGTAGTACAGAAAATGGCCCACAGTTAAGTGTGACTGACCACATGGGCGTTGCGGAACAGAAGTTTCAGACGATTTACTGCCGCTGCATTCATAGACTTCAGCATTACTCCTGCTGGGCTGATGTCAGGGGCCGAACTAGTCTTGGTTGCAAAAGTTCCTATTCTATTTGGTTTAAAAACCAGCAGCAGCTAGAGGGCATGCATCATGATCAACTGTTTCGCTGCTTATTTCAGAATAATGTTTTACTAGAAGGCTTGACTTTCCAGATAAAGGCTTTGGCTAGACCGCTGCAGTTTTTACTTGAATTTGGCTAGCGGACCAGCGTTAAGGTTGAACCCTGGTTCACACAACAGGGGAATTATTCTGAAGTTGACCCCCCATTTGCAATGTATGGCTTATTTTAACAGATAACCACCAGCTTCAATTTGCAGCGAGACAGCTGCGACGGTTTGGCCCTTCACGACATCGCCGTAGGCGAGCAGGTCTGTATCTTCTATGGCCTGCGCTCCAACTCGCACCTGCTGCTCTACAGCGGCTTTGTGTACCCGGAGAGTGAGTGCGACAGTGTTAGCATTCAGCTGGGCATCAGTAAGAATGACCGCCTCTATGCCATGAAGAGCCAGCTCCTTGCCATGATGGGATCGGCAGAGTAAGATCTCCCCTCTCCATCTGATTGCCCCATATAATCCTCCTTTTGAAAGGCCTCTATCAGCAGTAGATCAGTTTTCAAAAGAGGAATTTTTACTCAGTCTTTAGAATTTTATCTTAATACACTACCAAGTTATTCAATTGAACAATCACTGTGTGTGCTTGTGCCAGACATTTTACGCCATTTCTTGATCGCCACCCACAAATAAAGAGACACCACAGAGAAGAGACAAATGGTTCAATCTTTAAAAAATGCACTGTCCCGTCTAAAGCTACCTGACTTCTCGTACACATCCCAGAGAGCTGATGCTGCTCCAGAAACGTTTAGTGGCGTGATGATCAGGGGTAACGGTAATTGCTTAAAAATATTTTCCTTTAATTCTAGTTCAACTATCAACTTGGCAGTGGAAGGTGGTGATAATCCCATCAGTCCTGAGTTGATTGCATTCCTTAGAGTCTTCTCTATGGACGAGGGTAGGTCTTAGTAAGCAATGGACAATACCACATTATTCACAGTAGATAGTGGATGCCCTGTTGGAATCACCAGCATATTCAGAAATGTCCAAATATCGCCAGTATTAATTTGAAGTCAAACTTTTTTCCTTAACGTACATTTTTCATTGAAAAAGTTTCAGCAGTGCTTTGTTTTTTTACCCACAATTTGTTTGGTTTCTGTTATTAAAATAAAAGTTTTACCTCCTTTTGCTTAATTAACCCCTTAACGTCGGGATTCTTTTGACCGCGACTGCTGGACTGCGGTATGCCCAGTATGCAAAGCCCTGTCCAGCAGCAGGCCCACATTGAAACCGCAGCTGCATGATGAATAGAATGTATGTGTGGTTAAATCTTTACACAAAGCTGCGTCTGTCGATGGCTCCGGAGTGAAGGGGTTAACGCATGAATAAATCGTGAATAAATAACAGACAGCTTCCTCATGGTTCATTTCCAGTATCGCCTACAAAAAAACATGAGGTTTCCCAAACTAGCATTGTGGTTGACTGACTCGCCTTTGTTCTTCCCATAACTTGCTATTATAAAGAGCTCATATCTTGTTCAAAACAGGCCATGTCTAAATGACTCGGCTGCGGCTTGAAATTGACTCTATGGGTAGTGGCAAAGCCGCAGTCAAGTAATTCTGATACTGACCAGTTTTCATTTTGCCATTCAAACGAAAGACAAATATTTGTTGCATTTATGATGTCCCATCCCTTGGCAATCCTTGGAACTGAACTGCAGAAGAGTTAGTGATTCGCATGTTTGACAAGAACAAGACAGAATCCCTTGGCCGTCTGATCCGTCCCAATTGCCTGGTCAGCAAAGCCAATGAGCTGAGAGTCTGGACCTTTCTCGAGACGAGACTGTCCTTGCTGTTGAAACAGTACAAGACCACAGTTGAGGTGAGCAGTGTGTGTGTGTTCTTGGGCACGTTTTGGTTATCATGACAAGCCAAAATTTTACTGCTACCCAGATAAGAAGCAAAGGCCATGGGCTGCTCTCGACAGTGACAAATCATCCACACATTCAATTAATGGCCATTAACCTGTTCTGCAGGAGAACATGTAAACATGATCGGATAGTCTGTATTCACAGGGAGAGCTGACAGGTTAAAGTCCAAACATCCCCTGAGCCACCACCAGTTTTGTACACTCACACCAAGTCCTAGAAGTCTGTGAAATAGACTGTGTGTTAACTTGACTGCTTGACACAGCTTGCTGTAGCAAACTTACTGCATTGCAACCACTCAGGGTGTTTCAAAATATGAGGTTGGGATAAATAGACTCCAACAAGTCAGTATTTGTTGTGTTAAGCTTTTTATCAAACGTTGGCGGCTGAATCTTGCCTTTATCGAAAGTTGGAATTTTTAGCCAAAATAATACTGTCTGCAAGTGGTAAATCCAAACAGTTGGAGATTACGGTTACCATGTACTCTTTTGCTTGTTCCAATCAGGCACATGGATCATTTGACAAAGTCTGACTTTTTTTCTTGTCTTTTAGCAAAGTTAATTTTAGGATGAAAAACTAGAGTGTCACACTCCTTTAAATGAGTTGGTTTCTTTTGATATCAATGAATGATGTATATCTCTCCTCTTTCCATGGGGAACTCTGGATAATTCTCCCAGAGAGGAATTCAAACTGCTATTTTGACAAAGGTTTTAAAAAGCGTAATTTTTAAATTAAATATTTAAATATCCGGAACAGTTTTACTCTCTTTTGAATAGAAAAGGCAGTTTGTAGATGAAAGCCAACACTAAGCAGGAAGACAACCTACTACCCTAGTCAGGAATTTATTTCCTTCAACCTAAACACATTCAAGGACCCAGTGTCATTCAGCATGTAATACCATTACCCCCTAGGCCTTCTTGGGGGACTCTTTGCATAGAGTGTTCAGATGCAAACTACCAATTACCCAAAATTGTCAGAGATAAAAATTGCACAGAAGTGTTGCACTTTTAAGTCCGGATGCATAGTATGCTTTGAATTATGCAGTTTACAGGCCTGCAACTTATTCTTGAGTCATCTGATTTCCTGTTTTTTTTTAACTTCTCTTGCCATGACAAGTTGGGAAGCACTGTAAAAGTCCACCAGTTTTTCCTGTTTCCTAAATGTATACCAAAGATAAGCAAACATTCGATAACAACCTATTTTATTTGGATGTCTCAGGAGGATGTGGATCAACTCTCCCGGACGGACGTGTCGGCCAATGCCAAGCTCTGCATCCAGCTGCGTTTGTTGGAGAAACGCATCCTGCACAATGCCATGGCCTACATCAAGACCCGCCGCAAGGACACGGAGGAGCTGGCCGAGGATGCTACCAGCTACCAGGAAGAGCTGGAATTGGAGGAGGCAGACAAAGTAGCAGAGGTACCCGACACCAGCCCCGCACCGATAACGAGGTTGGAGTACAAGACTGCCATCGACAGCTCCTCCGACAGCAGTTCCTCCAATAGAAACTCTTCACTTTCGCTGCAGAGCGACACCAGCGACGATTCCGTATTGAAGCCGGCGAGTCCGATCGAGGAGCTGCCGGAGACCACAAGTCCGCTCGTAACCAATGGGGACAGCACTACAACCTGCCACAGTAAAGTCAAAGTCAGTGGCGCATGCACAGTGGACAGTCTGAACAACGCTCTGAACGGCATCAGCCTGAAAGGGGATAACAGTCATCCAGTCGATGTTGGCACGGAAAGCAAGCACACAGCAATGTCTAATTGTCACAGCGAGTTGAATAGCAGTGTCGCGGATGGTTAGAAACAGAGTCCAGATAGATGTGTGTTGGCAGCCTTGTTGAGGCTTAGGCTTTTAAAGTTCTTTTTCCCAGAAGCACATGAGCAAGTCTTGGATTAGAGGATAAGATGTTTGTAATGGTGAAGCTGAGAATGTTAGTTACCCAGAAGCCAAGAGGGTTGGAGGAACTGACTTCACTTAACCTCTTCCCTAACCTCATAGGACTGTCAAAATCGATTAACCACTTGCTGCTGGATAGAATTTGAAGTCGCATGACGTAAAACTGGGAGATTTTCAAGTTTTTCTGTTTTCAAAATGCTTTAAAAAAATTATAACTTCATTTACTGGATGTTGGCATTCACACGGATGACTGTCTGGTGGCTACTCTAATCTAACAGACAACATCTATTGATGCCCGAGTATTTCAGCCAGGCCTGCTGCCTGGTGAAAAGAGCCCAGATTGTGCGGTGTTAGATAAGTTTCTTTTGTTCCCGAAACTGGCACTGTGTGCAGCTGGCATCTTTTCAATAGGGGCCAGATCAGCATGCGGTGGTATTGTATTGCTCATCACTGGAGCGCTGGAGCACCCTTGCCCCGGTGGTAATCCGCTCATGCTGAATGCCACAAACAGTAGCATAATCTTACGGAACAATGACGGATTTCCTCCTCTATTGACAACTGAAAAGATGTTAGCAATTCCCAGCAGCTTGGTCTTTTGTTCCGAGTACGGTCTTTTGTTATAAGGCCTAGCTCTTTTGTCCGGTTTCGGGCTCCCTGGTTTCATGTTTAAAGCCTATGTGCCCGAAACCTGGCTCCCAAGCAGCAAGTGGATAAACAGCACCTGAGTAAATTCCTGTCATCTGATTAGTGGATCAGCGATCAACTGTCATGAATTATTAATCTCAATGCTCAGCATGCAGCCATACTGCATGAACAGAACTTCCAAATTGAAAAAAGGGCGTGTTTGCATGCACGTCAAGTTTGCTTAAAGATAAATTGGTTATCACGCTCGCACTCATGTGATAGCATATTATTTTCAAATATGAGAAAGATTCTGCTAGGATCGAAATGTCAGGCCCTCCTTATTTTGTGATAATTAACCCTGCTGTAACCGTCAAAAACAGTCAAAAATTCCTTCCACCTGATTTGCCCCAACGCACAGACACATATGGGAAATTTGACTGATTTTGACTGATATGAAAACTGTGTCAAGAATGTATCTTTGCATGAGAGGGTTAATATTATTTCCATTTATGGAGCACATTCATCTTGAAGAGATCAATCCCACCTTGGGAAAGAAGTGCATTAAGTCCTGAATTTGCAGGAAACAGCCACCAGTGTCCATTCAAAAACCTTTTTCTGCCTCATAGCAAGTGGAACACAAGACGCATTACATCATTCCATGTTCCACTTGCGATTGTATAACAACTAAAATAGTTTTTGTATCTCCACTTTCTGCTCAAATTTTCGAGAGGGTATTGAAAATCACATTCCACTGTTCTTTGGATGTTTTTTCTGTAATTTCAAGTGTGAAGAAAAACAAGCCATAGACAAAGACAGAGGGAAATGTTTACAAGGTTGAAAATGTTAAGCCACCAGCTTGAGTTAGTTCGGTTTTGGTGCATAGTTTGTTGCAATACTTTGCTCTTCAATTTACTTTCAGTCTTTTGATTGATGAAATGGCTGATGGTGCTGTATTATGAACATTACAGTTTTCTTAAGATCATATTATGTCCTGTGGACTGTCATGTATCAGTATTTTCCTGTGTTGCTATAAAAAACAAAATTGTCTATCTTTTAAGCTGCACCAGAATTTTAGTCTGTTGATTTTATCACAGTAATTACAATGAGAGATACAGAGATTTCCTAAATGTTTTACTACTTGCTTTTAAATGCTGTATTTTACATGTAGTTGGGGAACCATCATGTAGACATAATGTTGGTAGTGAAATAGTCATCACTTGTGTCTGGTTCCTGATATCTGTAGGTTCTTTCCTGATGGAAGGCTGAAGTCTAGCTGTTTCAAATCTTTCAAAATCTACCAGCTTTGGGAGGAATTGCAAAATTGCTGTTGGTTTCCTGTGAAATGACAGACTGTGGAGGATTCAGGAGATTCTTCGAAAAATGCCCTGAAAGCTAATTTCCAAGTTTATCAACATTCTTAAAGATTGATATCGTTGCCCAACTTTCTTTAAAAATTAATCTGTATATTTATGTAGCAATTTTATCCAGAGCCCTCTATGCAGAGTCATTGCTATGATGGTAGTGTTGTTAAATCTAACAGTAAAATACAGCCAGATTTGATTGAGGTTTTGGAATGGCTCAGGTAGTAGTGGTCAACGTACCAGTACATGTACTTGGTCGAGGCCTTTTGGTACTTGTCAGTTGAGTTGTACGTGTATTTAAGTCTATGATCCAGAGTCACAAGAAATAAGGCACTGCAGTGGAATGCATTTGGCCATGACTAGCAGATGGATGACTTGGACAGTGCCTACCTTCGTCATAAAGTGAACTTGTCAAGTTCCATTTTATTTCTAAGCAGTCTCAGGGGTGTGCCTAAGGCTTTGTAGTTCCAAGAAAGAAAATCATTAGGTTTGGGAATAATCAGAGTATTGGTGATTGGCAGTGGTGTGGCCTGTAGCAGCAAATCCCCCTCAAAGGGGGCCTCTGATTGTTGAAGAAGTTACAGTGAGAATTACAATGTATTTGAACAAACATTGTACATGGGTCCCACAGGCGTCAATGTTGGTTGGTTGAATTAACTTTAACATCTGACTGATGTGTCTTGTCTTCAAAATTGGTATTTTGGGGTCGCGTTCACTGTGAAATTATCCAGTGTTTAAAACACACCATTCCTGCGGCAGGGCAGCTTTTATTATTGTTCTGAAGAAATCACAAAATGTAAATGATAAAAGAATAACGTAATACTGTATATCCATAAAGAGAAGGACAATCAATGTATATAAACACTTTTTACTAATATGAGAATTTGAGAATAATTTTGACTTTATTTTCTTCCTTTGCTGATTTTATGATATAGATAATTTGCACTTTAATTAGCAACCAACTGATTACAAACAGTGGACATTTTCTGAGTCTTTTTTAGTAATACTGCTTTGTGCACGGTCATCTGGAAACGAGGCCTCTGTATGTACTGATGACGCCATACTTTATTTTAGGCGTGTGCCTTCCTATGGTGCGCAGTGGACCATAGGCCCCACAAGCTCATAGAAAAGTTTACATGTAAAAAAAAAGGGATGACATCATCAGAACATAGGTCTACAAAGTACCGAATCGTGACGTCATTTTGAACTCGAGAGTACAGTGCAAAGGAATGGAGTACGCATGCGTTTTGGTGCATGTGCTGGTTCTCGCGCTAATGCCTTTTTACACACTAATTGTGCGCGTGACGTATTCACTTCGGTACTCTATAGAGTAGAGCAGAGAAGTGAATATGTCATGCACAAATTTGCCTGTGTAAAAAGCATTAGTGCGAGAACCAGTGCAGGAACCGACGCGCGCGGGTACTCCATTCATTTGCATTGCCACTTCCTGGTTTAAAATGACATCACCCTTTGCTTCTTTAGTACATGATGTGCTGATTGTAAGAGATATATAATTTTTCTGGTGGTTTGGGGCTTTCCAGCTTAGACATGCAGTACAGGAGAAATAAACTTTTTGTTGCATTTCACAAAAAAATCACAGTAAACTCAAAGAGTATGTTTGATTTTTTTTTCCGTGCTTGAGCACTCATCTACTTACTAGTTAAAGTCGGATATACTGGGAAGAATTCGTGTCCACCCGATGACAAGCTCACACAATCTAAATGCATGTATTAAGAAGATTGTCAGCACTGTCTTGTGACATTATAGGTATATGCTAACATTAATTACCCTTTGTAAATAGCAGCACCTTCCTGTGAAAGTTGGGGAGGGGGGTGCTCAAATTGGTTATACTGTTAAAATACAAGGTACTGTGTGAAAGTTGTGATTTGAGGGATTTCCCCATAGTTGCATTTCATCATAGCAAAAGTGTATCTCCTTCCATTATGACCCCTGAACAGCACTGTTAGTGTCCCCAGCAGTCCAAAGCATAGTCTTGTCCCAAGACGTTACTGCTTGATATCTGTTGCCCATACATATACCCATGGTGTAGCCATCAAAAAAGAATCCCCGCAATGAAGAGCCGTAATTTACAGGACAAAGCAGAACTGTCTAGAGAGTTGCAACATGAGTCTCCCAATTGTTGGAACCAAAATGGTGAATTATGGGTCAGTACACATGGACAATTAGCACACAATGGCCATTTTGGTTCCAAAATGTGAAGTCGGCGCTAGTCTCTCTGTATACAGCTCTGGGACTGTGACCACAAGTGTAAATCAAAGGGAATCAATACTTGGTGACAAAATATATATTATTACAGAATTGAACTCGACATGGAAGTTATTACAATTAATGTTTGCAAAGACATGCGTAGGCCAAGCATTATTTTTCCTGTGAAAAATGAATATGTTGCTCATCTTTCTAATCATATATACAATTTGTTTCATGATTTATGTTCAAAAAGCTGTATCCTCTCCGAGTGATCCCTGTTCACCACTTTCCAGGTTGTATCGTGTTATTGGAGCGTGATCCCAGGCTACATGGTGTGTCAGGTTTAATGGCTTCTGGCTAGCACCCCCCAAACAAAGATATTGACAAATGGGAAGAGCCGCCATGGTAGGGCTGGATAGCTCAGTTGGTAGAGCACTGGTACGGTATTCTAGAGGTCGCAGGTCCAAATCCCACTCCAATCAATTTCTTTGTTCATTTTTATAATCAAAAATGAATACAAATTTTTGGAACCATGGTTGTCCAAAACAGGGATCTCTGGAGAGGAATGTTGCACAAGATTTGGGCATTTTTGGAGAAGTTCTTTAGTCTTTCATCCTCAAACCTGCTACATCTAGCAATATCTTGGATTTCTGAGCAGTTTAGCACTGAAGACATCTGAGCCCAACTTACCAAAACTGCTCAAGCAAATAATTTTACGCTAACAGAGGCTCTGTGTTATTCATGCAACCGTAAGCAGGGCAAAAAGTCATACTAACCACGGAGGAAAAATTTGCTTAGCCACTTGCCACTGGGGATTCTGGTTTTGGTACCTATTCTTCACACGCGTAGCCATTCTTCACATGCGTAGCTGGGGTCTATTGCATCAATAGATGTTGTCTGTCAGATTAGAGTAGAAAACAGACAGTCCTTTGTGTGGGTGTATGTGTCCAGTAAATGAAGATATGAATTTTTAAAGAATTTTGAAAATAGAAAAAAATGAAAGTATCCTGTCCCAGCATCATCAACATTCATAAATGCCCCCGGCGTGATGTGGTTAGTGACAGAACAATGGAAATCTCTACGCGCGTGTAATGCGCTGTGAAACAGTGCTTGCAGTAGGCAAAATTTTCTGCTATGGTAGCGCGACTTCCCTGCTCTGTGAAATTAAGCCCTGCTCTGAGGCAAACTCTGGCAATGACCAATTGCTGACCAGTGGTCGATTTTCCCTATTAACCTGTGCACAAAATATATCCTGTGCCCCAAGTCATATGACTTTATTGGATTTGATAAGGTGGGTGTTGGCGTGGTGGCTCAGAAATCAATATATGGCTGATGAAAATATTTGCATACATGACCTACTGGGCCCGGAAGTTCCGCATGGATCTGGATCACAACCAGTGATCCCTCACTGGTTCACAAACATCAGAACCTGCCTAATGGATAAAGGGAACCAGCTGTGGGATCGCTGATTGAAATCAAGATCCATGTGAAACAAACCCAAGGTGAGCATTCTCTCTGGCTTCAGCTCTCTTATACTTGTTGAAACTCTAAAATACAACCAAGGATACTGTGGATCAGGACTACAAGAGCCACTCAAACCAATCATATAAGCCTATGTGATGCCATCTCTGAAAACTATTCACTTTGTTGAAAATGCTAGACTATCTGAAACCAGCTTTTACAAAATCTATTGTTTCTTGCAATCACATCAAACCTAACATCAGCTCATCGTATCAGCCTCACCTTTTCAAGAGTTTCTCACACCCCAAAAATTTGTATGAATAGAAAAGTTTCACGGATCACATATACATAAACTAAATATCACAATCACAGTCCAGAACTCCAGGAATACCAGCAGACTTTAGTGAACGATATTTGTTGAGTTACACTTGCATAACTTGATAAACTGTTACGATTTGACCTCTGACATTTCAGCATATTTGATGGCATAGCATGCTTCCTTTCTTTGTTAAATGAAGCGAGAAGCATCCAACGGCCACAGAAAACTCCATGACTGGATTGAAAACACTGCTCCAAATTCTTCATGCATTCACTTGCAAGCAGATCAATTTTGTAAATTGTTGTATCTACAACCAATGGAAACAACATTAATCTTGGATTTCAGTATTATAGATTACAGACATCATCATATGATGCGGCCAAGAGGTTACAGAACAGCTTTGTAGAGTAAACATATAGTTGCCATTGTTGCTTAGTTTTGCCACCAATTAACTCATCACCGTTAACAAGTTAACCATTAACAACGTGTGACTGTGCATATAATGCACGATCATACACAAACGCACACGGAGCTCGTGTTCACAAAGGGCAATAAGTCAATTGGTTAGTGACCAGTTTTTACATTGCAAAAATCCTTCAGCTTGGTAAAACAGCATACAGTATGGCTCCATTGGCAAAACAACCTGACAAATGTCGGGGGGGGAATTCCAACTCTCCTGCCTTGCCTCAGGATGGCTCTCACTGTCGCTGTCCTTGCTACAGACTGAATTTCTCATATTGCCACGTTTTCTTTACACCAGACCAGCACTTCTTTTTGCCTACATCGGTTGTAGGCTGTAGCAAGCACGTCATCTGCAGAAGTACTGGGGGTTGCCGACCCCAACACGTTGCCTCTTACGGGACTGCATATCACTGAAGAACTCGTCAATGTCCTGTCTCTTAACCACCTGTGAGCAACGGTACATAAACATGATTTATCATAAGACCAATAATAAAGCAGACTTGGCCAATGTTTTATGTTCAAGGAACTCTTTCAGTTCCAAGAGACTATAGGGATTAATTATAGTGTATCGACTTACCTGAGAAGACACTTTACCATCACACACATGTTGATCAAGTTGTAAAGTTAAAAAGTTCAAAGCAGCATTGAATGCACCGACATGACCTGTGCACAAGTGCAGTCCCAATGAGATAATGACATCTAGCGATGTCAAAAGTAGTTAGTTTTTGTTTGAAACACATTATAAGAACAAATAATAAACCAAGTTAAATTCTCCAAACTTAATGGAACACTATCACGCCATTGAAATTAAGCAAAGAGGATTTACTTACTTTTCCCTGATTAGCAAAGCTCTGCAGATAATCCCTAAGAGATGCCTTCAGATCATTGTATTCTGCAGCAGGAAAAATAAAATACAGTGACTCAAGCTGGATTTGGACCTGTCATCTCTGGTGACCTACAGTGTCCAAAGTGTGCACAGCAAGGATCTTAACTAAAGTTTGTTTCCTTCTGGTATTAAGAGTACACGAATCCCGATTTTGCGGCATCAGATGAATTATTCACACTACAAATTTGCAAAAGTTGAACACATTTCAATTCAAGCAAATTTCACCGCAAATATTTTGTGACATCAACTTTGCTTCGTTTTCGCATTCAGCGGAAGTATCAACCAGCCAGTGCGGTGTAAGAGTTATGATAATAACTAGGAGTCAATGAGAACTTACCATGAATGACTTCAACCTGCTGTACGCGGTTCAATTTCGTCAATGCTTCCATACCCATCTGATACTGTGATGTACCAGCATGCTTCATCTTGCCTCGTAACTCATAAGCCAGCACGGTGTCAGACTCGTCCATCAAAAAACTGACTTGTCTGTTCTCATAAAGCATCTGCAATGTGTACGAGTATTGAACCATGACTCCACTGGCAGGCTTTGAGGGGTATCTTTGAGGAGCCAGGTTGGAGAATTGTATTTTCCTCACCTTTGGTGATTGGTTTTTAGTCTCTACCCCACTTCCAGGGTTTTACCCAGAACACTCTTCTAGGGTTTTCCACCTACCTCTCAAATTATATTTTCTTCAGCTCAGCGAGCAGCGACGATAATAATGCATAACTTCTTGAACACTGGTATTGGTAGATATGTGTGCATTAAGAAGGCATTCATTAATATTATAGTAATCCAATCCCTCGGACCATCGTCACCCGATCAATTTGACCACAGCCATCTGATCCCCTTTGATTCAAGTCACCTGCAGCCCATTTCACTTTACGCAATATCACTTACACCACATAATGTTACATAGATTGCGCAGCAAATTATGAGCGATTTCACGAAATTTACGCACTACATAAATTATGGCGTAACTTACGCCGTCATTTTAGGTGGTGTAAGTGGCACCAAACAAAGCAAAAATGAACAATTTGACTAGCTCATCGTGTTCAGTTAAGCTTAATCATTGTTGAACTTAACAAGGCTAGTGTACAACTTGAAAAACTTGTTTGGCTGTGAGAGAACTGCAAGATTTTATGTCTGGTTCCAACCAAGAAAAGACAAAAACTTTTAAATTTAAATCTGAGGCCCAAGGCTTGCACATCATTCAAAGTTACGCCACGTTTCATGAAATCGACTGCTGATGCCTTTTGACACTAGTCGCCTCATCCCCTTTGACCCTAGTCACCTGACCTCTTTGTTGCCAAGTCACTTGATCCCCTCTGACTCTTGACATCTGAACCCAGTGACACTTGTCACCCAATCCCTCTGACCCAACTGCATCCTACCTTGCAATCCTGGCACATACACAGCTTGCTCCTCCAACCGCTGGGCCAGAAGGTGGCATGGTCTCTCTTTTCCACCACTCTGCCTTTGAGCTCTCTCAGTCGACAGATTTGGCCGCCTGCCTGCCTGTGTTGAGTCTGCCCATTTTGGCTGGGTCCCGCTGGCACACTTCCACTGGACGAAGCCTCAAAGCCTGATGCCCCTGCCGGAATGGCATCATCCTGCCGACCAGTGGTACTATCTTCCTTAATACTGTCCTGCTGCACTGTCTCTGGTGCAGACGGTGCTGTGATTACACTATCAGTGGTGGGCGGGACCTTGGTTGTTAGGACGGTATTCTTTGAATTGGCTGATATGGCATCATCTGGTGAGTCATGGACGTGAGCTGTATGTGACTCTGTCGGTTTGCTGTCACTTGTCAGAGTTGGTTTGGAGTCGCTCACTGGAGTAACCTAGGTTGGATACCACAACAAAAAGAAACAGCATGTCATGTCAATAGAATGAGTACATAAGAACAGTGCAGCAAAGGTGCCCAGTTGTATCAAGATGAACAGAGAGCCATCCTCATTAAGCACTCAGTCGTACTACTTTATGGACACCTTTAGAGGTTTGAATATTCAAGTTACAACTCGCTGTGAGAAATCAGTGCTGAACAAGAGCACCTTTCATCGAGAAGCGCAAGGGTTGCACACTATAAAGTTTCAGTTATGAAATCAAAGAAACAGAATAGGTGCACTTTTACTCTTTCTATTGGAAACAGCAAGGCGTCTCCAAAAATTCAATCAAATAAATTGCTTCATCAGCAACCTGACCAATTTCACAACAAAAATGAACAATACAATGTTAAATAGGCTTTTGCTCTGAATAACCTAAACGGATTTAGAAGTTTCACATATTAGTGAAATATACATGGTTTTTTGCTGAGAAGTTCTTCAAGAGATTTTCCCAGCTACTTGTAGACAAGTAGCTTAACACTGCTTAACACTGAGATACCTCAGGTGACAGAGAGGCCATTCAGTGGGGTCTTCCAATCACAGTAACAGTTTTTTATTTGTACAGAAACATTACTACTTCATAACTCACCTCTGCTTTTACCCCCTCGTCGCTCTCAGGAACAGCATGACTCTTGGCCACATTCTCGACGTCAACATCTACACCCAAGTCTTCTTTCTCAAGCTTAACCTCTGAGAAAAACACATAACAAAGCAGGAATCAATCAACAGAGCCCTTTCAGCATCTCTACCACTGATGTTGGATCACTTCTACAATGCTACACATAATTCCTTCGCTACAGCACTGTCACATCTTTGCTTAAAATGCTGACAGAATTTCATCGATAACGTAGCAATAAAATCAGCAACTGTGTTGTGGTGCCTTGCAATAGGATGGTAGTCCTGTCAGTGGTGTTCTAACATTACCAACCAGGCTAAAGTACTCTGCTAGTTATCATTAATTATTATGCTATTTGTCCTCATCACAAAGGACAATACAAAAATAGACAAAGACAACAAGCTGACAGGAGGTGAGAAAGTGAACTTAATCATTATTGCCAGCAGGCAAACGGCCCCAATATGACAATAGGTTGCATCTGTTAAGAGTAATAATACATTACCTTTGCCAGTGACACTGTAATACCACAGAAAGTCACAAGGTCCCTGCATACACTCAGCACACACCATCTCTTGGTAGTCATTACTGTCTGGTATACTGACTTCTCCTAGGTGCTGGTAATACAAATAAAAAGCTTCAGTCTGTTAAAACCTGTTTATGCAGGAGTCTCTAAAACTCAAAAAGAGAATAGAAAACCAGGTTGCGATAAAAACTAGTAAGTACCGCTCAAGACCAACTGCAAGAGCATAATTGTGATGAGATCTAGAAAACCCTTCACATGGTGAAATTTGTTGTTTTTACACAATATACATCAACTTAACAAAGACACTGTGCTGTGTTCAAAACTGTTGAATTCATCTTTCTGGGATGTTTATTTTGAGTTGTGCTCTCAAGAAGTTATAAAAACCAGCTGACCTCATTTGAGAAATCAAGCTTAAAAGTTCCAAGTAAAACTTCATTCAGATTACACAAAATTGACTGACTGAAAAACTGTAAATCAAAGTTGGAATTGCATCAAACAAGAATATTTGGATATTAATAATGGAAATGGTAAAAAAATCTGAAATTGCTTTAACCACTACCAGCCGGGGACTCCGAAATCAGAGCCATATGGTTTATATGTGTGGCCGGGGTCTCCGAACTCGGACAAAGGAAACACGGCCCTGTAATAAAAGACCATACTCCGAACAAAAGACCAGGCTGCTGGGCATTACTGGCATTTTTCACTCTCAAAAGTGGTGATAATCCAGCGTTATTTTGAAAC